TTGCATATGGGCTACAATAGGGATTTTGGTTAGGACAACTGTCTAATCGCCGTGTTCGGAAGTAACTATGGTGCAGTGGTTTAGTCGCTGTCACCGGCGTGCTTTGGACCCTGTGGTCCGAGGTTCGAGCCCCCCACCCAACTTTCGTGGTAGGCAGCTTTGCTGTCGCCCGGTTCTGTACCACGCCTGACTTAGCAGGGTCTTATGTGGTTCGCTACTCCAAGTCCCGGGGCTTAGGGTGCCGGTTACCATCGCTGAACAACAGGTCTTCGTGACTATAGAGTTGCACCCTGTCTGCTGTTCATATAATGGTGTGTAATAAAAAAATCAGTCAGTTTTACCGGAACGGGTATGTGGTTAGATACAGTTCGCAGATACCCTCAGTTCGCATTCTCAAACAACGTTTTCCTGATACCTTACGAGCTAATTAAGCCGCATTCAGCGGGATCGAAAAAAGAGGCGAATTGTCATTTACCATCGGTTCAGCGTGTCAGCAACTCTGACCCCCTATTTATTTACACAGTCTCGTTTGATAACCCTCGCGGTCTGCAATCACCAAACCTCAACTCGTAATCCATACTTCGCAAAACAAAGCAGACCATGAGCATAAAATGTGTTTGTGTGTGTGTGTGTGTGTGGCGTTGAACATTGTTCATTGTTGATCAGATGTTACCCTCCAACCATGGCCCAAGCAGACAGTTTTAACAAAACTTCTCTCTCCCCCCCCCTATCCGCCTTCGCTCACTGGTGCCGAGCAAATCAGTATGATCAAGTGTCCCGTGGTCAACGCGATTGTTTGATAGATCCGGAGTTTGACCTTCAGTGCGGCCAGTTGATTTTCACCGCTGATATTAAGTAACAAAACCTGGAGCAGTCGTACAGTGTGCTGGCTTACTCACTATCGAACCCTAATGGTGCTTCAACTCTTAGCTCAGAGTACTGCTGCATGCTTACACGTCCAATGCGTATATTTTTTTGAGAGTACTTTGCAAGTTTACGCAATGTTCCGGTGTATACTTACAAACCACAAACTCCCATTACAGATTAATTCAAACCCAGCACAGTACAACATGACAAATTAATCCACGTGTCTAAATGCGAGTGCTTCACGTATGGCGAGTGTATGGTTTAACACGGAACCCAGGAAAGGGATCCCGAATCGAAATTCGGGTAAACTTTCGTCCTAAAGGAGCCATTTTGAAACTGGTTTTCGAATGCTGCATCCATAGTGCTTAACATTTTTTTGTTGGGTAACCAAAGGAACAATAATCATTCAGATGAGTTGTCAGAGAAACGAGGAGTGTTCTGCAAACCACTGTTCATGCCGGTGCCAAATTTTGGCGTCTCGAGATTTTGGGTGGAAGGTGGCCGAAAATAGGAGCTGTTCTTTTTCAGAGTTTTCAGTCAAGTGAAATTACAAACTAATTAATTAACATAAGTGAACAAAAGGATCATTTCAAATCCTCCGCTAATCTTATGGAACAAGTAATCTAGTTGGAATGTTTCCAACTGGACGTTAACCTTGAAGACTATAGTGCTGAGAGGAACCAGGTGCAGTGTCTGCAACACATTCACAGAGACTGGTTGTGCATTCACGTGCGAAGGTAAAGTGATCATCTATCCAGTAATCGACTGGGGTAGTGTGCTTACCTTCTACCGGTGAGGTCCCGGTTTCGATCGATTGTTCACAGACACCAGGCCGTGTGCCCGTCATCACAAATCTTTCCATCACTGTCCATCTCAATCGATTCCTGTCTCACCCGAGTACGCGTCCCCAATTTAGAATGCCTCGTGTACGTACCACCACATACCGAAATTATATCATCTCTTTTTGCTCGTATCGTAGGAAATCGAACATCTTTCGTCATTGGCTTGGAAATCGCTTGTCACCTTAGCTTTGTACCGCATCCATTTGTTTTCCTTTAGTAAACATTTGATATTTTCAATGTTTATTGCTGTAACTTGTCGAAAGTGTTCAAATGCACTCCATTTGGTGCATAAAGCTTAATTTGACTTGACTCGACTATTGGGTTTGCTTTATTGGGCCAGTTTGCATTAGCCAGTTATGAATATCCTACCTTAGCCTCAATCTGTTCTGTCGACTTACTGTATCTGGTGAAAGTGTTTTAATAGAACTTTATGATTTCAGCGATAAAGATTATTAAATTCAGAGTCCATACTCAGGTGAGTGCATTTTTGAAAACATTTCAATTTTTGAACTTCAAATTTCTATTAAAATTCTGTAACTATAATAAGATTTATGATATATTCAGACAGCACTTGTCACCTTATTTCAATTTCAGTTGATTTGACAGAGATATCTCATTCAGTTTCAAATATATGGCCTAAATGGTCATTTCGATTGTTCAGCACTCAAAAGCGCTTCTGTGGTAGCCAACACACTGGATGTGAACCGAGTCGACAGTGATGCCTAGATCGATCAAGTATGATCGATTAGTGTCCCAGTGCAGCCGCTTGGGGTGTAGCTTATTAAATCTATTACAGTACCATGCGACAGATGTAAGTAATGACTCAAGTGTTGATCGCACATGATCTATCGTACCGGCGTAGCGTGGCTCGATATGACTTTTCAGGGGGAAGGGGACGAACTGAGAGGGAGAGAAGCGTACGCTTAACAGCAAGGTAGACGATCAAAATATGTCATACAGATTGAGGTGTGAGTGAACAAAGCACGTCTCACAATCGTCACCCCAGCGCTTCAACCGGAGGTTGATAAGTTTATGCTACATGGTGGTTTTAAAAGTGCATGAACCTGGCAACTCCGATGAGGTCAATGAGACAACTTGAAATGATAGCCGGACATCTTCAAGTGATATTCGGACAGCTTTAATTGCGATTGGTATACTACATTCTACATAATTGGATGTCTCTAATTTCGAGTGTTCATCTATTCCAAGATAAAGATTGCCCCCTGTTTGAGCCGCGGTTTCAATCGCTCATTCAGTAGATTTACAATACGAATAGTTGGTGCTATGTTGTAACTTCTTGGATATTTGCGATGCTTTTCTGGGATGGAGCGTTTAGCATTTGATGCCCCTGAGAACGCTGAGTAAAAAGTTCACTTGTGTAGATCATTTACACTTTTACCTGGTGAAACTACGCCAAATGACAAAGCATGATCCGCATTAAAAAAACCATTCGCTTCCTGAATCGTTTGGGCATGGGGCGAGGGGAATCGATCGTTTGTCTCAATCCCATTATTGACGCTTGAATTATTCGCCTGTTTTCCCTAAACTCAGTCCAGACGCGTTCAGCCAGACCAAATGCACTTTGTTGCCGTCGCTTGAGGCCATCTCGCAAAGACTGACAACTGTGATTTGTTTTTCACGAGCAGCGAAAGGTCAACAGAAAATACTCCACTTTCCAAGACAAATGCACAAAAAATTCAGGAGGCGAATGGGTCTACGAGGTTTATGCTTTGCCATCTGACACAGTTTTGATCGGATAAAAGTACGAATAAAATTTCGATCTGATCAATCAGTTGATACGGTTTGTAGTCAAATTCTCGCTTTTTCGCTTTACAGGTTAACACTTCTTTTGTGCCCCACGCCAGTAACACTGATTCAGTCCCCTTTCGAAGTAAACCTTTTAATCATCTAGGGATAGCTTACTGAGTACCATGAACACAGACCACAGTTTTTCAATCCTCTCCTTGGTGTGCGTTTTGAAACGGGAAAGGCACATTTCTATTGGAAGGATAATGAGGTAAAAACGTATACGGCTGTGCAAGAGGATTCACTGAGTACAGTTCACAGGTAGTCTGATTGCATCTCGTTCTACTCAGGCAATTGTGAACATATAATTCTCGTCGGATAGACAGACGTGTGCGCGATTCGTTCCGATGAAGTTGAGTTCCCTTGCCGTCAGTGTATAGTTCACTTCAGTTTATATCGTGTAAAACTGTCGATCCCGACGGTAGCTATTCGTTCACTCTTATTGTACCCTCATATCATGCACGCAATTAATTTATGTAGCCTTACAGGAAAGCATGGACAGCAGATATATTCACTGGAATCGCTCGTTGAAGAGCCGCTAAAGCTGATTAACAACGCACTCACGTGCGTGGCCAATTAGTCTCACCATCCGGGTTCGAGTAGGGAAGAACCCGATGGAGATACACAGTTTTACAATCAAAAATAAGGATGAAACCATTATAAAAATAATCCCGATGCCTTAGACCCGAATGTTCACGATTCGAGTCTCGATAAGCATAGGAAAAAAAACCGCACTACCAGTAAGTTTAGCAATCCTCAAAGTGGATGAACAGCCACAAACTCTGTCAGATCTCCTAATCACTTCTGAACAGTACCATAAATTAAAAAATTCTTTGTCAAGCTTATCGAAATGACACATGGCTGAGGAAGCAGGGTTCACGCATAGCAATGAGAATCAAGATGAATGGTTTGTAATGAGTTGCACTGGTTGTATGCTTGTGTCTGGGGCTAGTGTTAATGAGGTGCTGGAAGAAGGCGAGAGAGAGAGAGAGGGAGACAGTCTTACCAAATGACATTTGTTCGAACAACGAACCTCTATAGTTTCGGTTCCTCATCACATTCTGACTGCCTAGATCCTCTCAAACGCAACCCAAGTGAATCCGACTGATCGGGAAGCCCCGTGGCGACATCGCGTCCATTAAATCTGGGACGACGCGGTGCGGGAAGAGTGAGGCGTTGTTCGGACGAAGAATGAATTTAACCTGGTTATCGTATGTACGAAGGATTCCGTGAATAATGATCACGCTCTTGTCTTGAGTTCACTCTGTAAATGTGTGGTTGCTTGGAGAGATGGTGATTCTTCAAGCTTTACGGGGATCGTGCACCAGCGGGTGGGGTGGGGACGTAGGAGTGTGTGTGTGGGGGGAAGGGGGTTAGCCTGTACACATACGCACTGCCCCTAGGCAATGTGCGTGTGTGTGTGCGTGATCCCCAACGGGGGCAAATTATGTGATAGTCACCCGCGTGCTTGACCGAATCGCCGAAATGGCTAATTCCGCTCGCGGTACGCGCAGACCTTAACGAGAACGGCAATATGGGTTCTGACTGGAATAAATTCACAACGCTCCCTCATTCCGGTTCTCCCCCGAGGTCAGTGATTATCTCAAGTTGAATTGGTTGGAAGCGGAGCTTTTCAGATTAGGCGGGAGAGAGAGAGAAAGAAAAAGCAAAGCGTTTAATCAATCTTGATCAGAAATAAAATAGAATCAATTCTTAAGATTCTACTTTCAATTGTTCTGAAAATAAAATAAGTAAGACCCCCCAAATAGAAACAATATAATATGGATAATTTAAATTAAATTCTTCGACCAAGTCCTAGAAAATAGACCGAAACCTCATTAGTTGAGTACAAATATATAGATTTGATATTCTTTAGTACTGTTTTCTAGAAATCAACGACAAACTTTGAACGATTGTACCGACGTGTGGAAATCACGTGGAGTATTGATGGGCTTCCCACAATTCTTTTTTCATTTATGTTCACAAATATTAACTAGCCGGTAATATTATTTTATTGGAAGATGATATGATTAGAAGTGCGCTGGATTTCTTGCGAGTTTAATCCTTTCGTGGACGTCACCAATACCTGTTCACAATGCGAGCTCAACCGGCTGAGGTTACGTCCACATATCCCGAGTTCTGGATCTACTCCAAATCAAATACTCACTCATTTCACAAAGATGAGCATGTGAGCATGCCTGAAGTTTGTGAGGATCGAGTTTCTATTCTTAATTGATAATATATACTATGTATACTATGTTTGCAAGGAAAATCACGCCATGGATACGGGGTAAATTAAGTGTAAGCTGGAAAAATGGGAGCACTGTACAGCTGTTTCTACTTCGTAAGGTCTCATCAGGAGCGGTGAGAATCGATTGACCCAACTGAAGATCGAAGACCAGTGAACTCTCAGTCGGAATGCAAGCATTCTCCCAACGTAATCACCAGTAGACAGCTAATCAGACTGTTTCTCTTATCTATTCACTCCATAACGCGAACTTTCTTTGTCGGCTTGTTGCTAACTTCGATCATGTTAGCACCAACACCTCGGGCTATAATTCGATGTATGTGTGTGCCAAATTGAATATATGTATTAATTGAAGTAGGTACGGATTACGGATCAAGAATTGAAGCACGGAATCGAATTGGCAATTGTACGCTGAAATCTCCCGTCACCGAGACGCAGGAAAAAGGTCACAGAAGTAGCGGTTCCGTTGTTGAGAGAAATCAATTTCGTATCATTGGTCAAAAATATTGATTGCCATTCTTGTTCTTCAAGTCATTCGACTTCCGTTTGCACTGTATGGCTGTTTAGTGATCGATATTGTAGGTCCATGACCCGATGTCCATAAACTGGAACGCGCAGGGGGCTTGGCTGGAGTCATCTCGAAATGTTGACTCATCTCAATAGGACTTGATAGTGTTATTTATTTGCAGCTCTAAAATGTCCCGCGACTGCCCACGTGACGAACCGCATGCAGCCCCCAGTAGGATATATGTAATTTCAATCCGATCAGTATCGGTGCTATATGCCGTCAGATGTAAATGATGAAGGCAAGGTCCGTATCTTGAACCTGAAAGGCAGTGACAACCTCAAAATGAAAATCACCACATTTAGATAGAATCGAAACGAAACGACACGTCTTTTTACTTCCTTTTTAATTTATCGTCTATATAAATGTGCAATCAACGTTCAGGAAGGGGGCCGCAGCTATACAAAGCTGCCTGGGAAGATGGCTGGTGGTGGAGCGGTTCGAACTCGGGACTTAAAGGTCACAATTTGGTGGCCTAATCACTTGGCCACCACCGCCCACTTTCCATAAGGTTTAGTTCACGATGGCTCATTTCTATTTCATTCATAACCATTCCCTGATGAATCTAGTAAGCAGTATTATCCCGCTAGTTTAAACCATTGATCTTCAGGCTATTTTTGACCGATTCTTCCAATATTTCTATCGAATTCATTCAACTACGGGGACCACAGTAAACTTCGTTATAACTGCAATATCAGTCGATCATCCAAATTCTCTATACTTCCGTGTATCACGGAAAAAGAGAAGGAAGGAAGAGAACAACTAAGTCGCGGCTCCCATCATAGAGGGTGGTATTGGATGATACTCTTCGTGAATGTTTTACGGGCAGAAGCGTGTATCACCGGCCGATATGATCTAAGCTGCGAGAATACATGTCATTCCGTTAGTTTTCCCAATGTTCATCTTCACAAAACTAACGAAATTTATAGATGGGATAGCATATTCCGGACTTTCCGATCATCTTGGGGCTAACTTCCCCAAATATCATTTGTTGTCATTGAGGCGTTGCTGATATAATTAACGCTGTTCAAAACAGTGATTTATTATCTACCCACAGCGTAGTAAACTATTCATTAGACAATTTTGGCACGCGAATGGACCGGCAGAGAAAAACCAGAGAATTGAAAAAAGTGGATAGCTTCACTACCAGTCGGAATACCGTGTAGCTCAAATGCCCAATCTATTACTGAACTCTGTTCAAGCAGATCGCACCGATCGGTTTTCAGTTTTCATCTTCACTCAGGATCATCAGTTTATCTCCACTCAATCACACACGGGCAACTCGAGAATCCAGTTTCGCTTTGGCTCAAGTTCATCACTTATGTGGATTCATTGACCAGTCCGAGAAGTGAACATCTGAACTATGCGCATAGGTGTGCATGTTACCACTGCTTCAATGTGGTAGTCGGTATAGACACGACTCACACGTCGCGAGCACACATGAAGCACGGCATAGAGATAGTAATGACATGTCACCGAGATGCAAGAAGACTGCTACAAAAGTAGCGGTTCCTTTACTGAAAGTTGCCAATGGGATTAAATACAGGTATTCATCGAACTCGTGCAACACGATTCTCATTTTGGATATATATTTCAGTCCCAGAGAAATATTATTGGTTAACCTGGCATCAGCCAACCACTGTTCTTGTTCTCCAAGTCATGCAACTTCTGTTTGAACGGCCTCGCCTCTGATTGGTCGATACAGTTTTGGCCTGTGGTCTGTCCTCCAGAAACTGGAACGCATAACCCCTTCGTTGGCGTTATCTCGCCCGATTGAATCACCACAGCTTAGCCGGCTCACATAGTCATTGACAATTTGGATTTATTCTCTTTCACACAATACATTCGGAATAACTTCGAACAGTCATAATCATTTCAACTCACTCAAATCATCCTGAAAACCATAAGTTGTCATTATGGTTTGGTTACGAAGCCACATTGCACAATGAATGAAATTTCATGCGTGTAACTTCTTTATATACGAATACTGCACTGTCTTCGGTAGAGCTCATTGTTTTCCTTTCAAAGAGAGAGGTTCTGGAACGCAGCTCACGGCCGCGTGTACCGATGGATTGCATTTAGTTACCTCAGAACACTAGGCGTATCTCCCAGTGTATATGATGTCGTCACTGCTCAATGAGTCAATCTGAATGTGCGCAATCTCGGTGATTTGGAGAGCATATATTGTCATTCCCATCCCCGGACGCTCCCGTTCGACCATTTGTTCAAAATGTTTACGCCTCATAACCCTCGCATCAGTTTGTCATGCGCCCAGAGCACGCTTATAGGCAGTTCTCAAACGTGCTCGGCTGGGATTACTATACATAAAGACGTCTTCCAGTTAGCTTATAACAGAACTACCCTGGGTGCCCTGGATGCTCGCTTATCCCTCTTCATCATACGTTTGTCGCGGTTCCGACAATCGCTTTGCTTCTGACTAAATCTGCTTCGAAAAAGTAGCACCTTTCTATTGAATATATAATTTTCTAGCATGGTTAACCGATCACGTTTTGTGGCAAGAGCAATGAGTTTATATAGCAATCTGCTGTGTCTCACCAAGAGCTATTACTAAACCTGGGGGCCGACGGTGCGTATCACAACGATCCCGGTTAAAAGACAGTTGCAAACAGTGCGTCTTTGTTTGTAGTACCAGCCAAACGTCGAGTGAAAAAGGGAAAAACTTGCGGTATATATATGGGGTTGATCACAGTCTGGTCCATTGTCCGGAATCGGGGTTACATGGGCGTCGATGCGGAGATAGATCGACTACGCATCCAGGATGCTCGAGAAAATTCCGACACGTTCTCACAATGGCTGCTGCTCCCATCCCATTTCAAATTCAAATTGTCAGAATTATTAGGGAAACGTTACGCTTCCCGTAACACATTCTAAGGCTTCCAACCCCATAGTACACAAATTGGGTCTCTCAGACTTGTTCTATTACAATTTCCGTTTTGTCTTACGTACACCAGTGATCCGGCCTGAGGACTCTTCTGTGCCGATGATGTTGCTGTCCCTAAAACGCTGTCCACTTCCAATGATCGGAGTTACTTCGCACATTACTGCTCTATTGAATCTCTCATGAATACCATCGTTTGGATAAGTTGAAATGAGTGTTCACTCGGTTTCCGCAAGCTGTGGTTGTTTGGTGGTCAACGATTAGTAATCTCGACCATTGTTGAGCAGTGTTGCGGACCCTTGATCTCAATTATGTTATTAGGCTTGTTTCTTTTAACCAACTGCACGACCTGCTGTACCCTATGATCTTGTGTTTTGGGATTTCAATCATAAATGCTACCCGTTGCTAGTTCCCCAGGGGGAATACTAAGAGCTTTTTGACTCACATTTGACATCCTGTGAAATTTTTGCCCTGAGGGCCCTTCTCCTCATCCAAAACATGTGGATCTTTCTATAGATGTGGTTCTCACAGCACTATTCACACACAATTCGGACTAGTTCTTTCAAGAAGTAATTTGTACAGGAACTGTCTCACTCCGTATGTGGCGTGTATACCGGCCCACATGGAAAGCAATGAGTTACATGCCAGTTTCAGTATGTAAGCTCAAGCATCGCCTCGCCTTACACGACCCGATCATATCATTACCCCTTTCTTCATTCAGAATCTTGTACTATGATCAGTGAAAAGTGTTTTATTTTTAGCGCAAACAGGGGCGTAACAAGCTTGCATGATCTCAGAAAGACAAGCGATAACTTGAATCTGTTCTGCGCATCGGTTAGTTATCGATCATTACATTTCAACTGGCTTTTCAATACGGCAGAGCTGTTCATATCTCACCTGCTTTCAGCGATGAGAAAGAACTGAGAATCATTCTCTACTCTGTCGTTCTTTTATTCGCTTGGCTCAGTGAACAAAAAACACAAAACATTTATCATATTTTACTAGTATGGCCTTATTTACTTTCAGTTGTTTATGTACGGATTTATCAACTCCGTGAAGTTCCGCATACCCTCACCGATGTTCCCCGTTCCCGACGGACTTGGACGGATTTATATGAATGGGCAGAAAATATTGATCCTATTCACTATCCTTTTTCTGGCCTACTCTCTTTCACACACTCGCTGTGAATGTCTCAGTCGCCCGCATTGTACATCACTTTCATCCACACGAGGAAAAACGATGCACGGATAGCGAGCTGCATCGATTGAACCAGGCTCACTCTCCGTCTCTTTGTCTCACCGACCGATATCAATCGGTACAAATAATGTTTTGTCCAAAACGTGGTTGGCGCTAATGGAAAAACGATCCAGGACCGCACGAATATCAGCCGTCTCCGGGGCAGTCTGTTTCGTCAGATGTCGGTTCTTTTTTGTTTGTTCATTTGCAGCCCCCCCCCTCCGCCGCCGCCGCCATCTGTCTGTGCAGCCGGGTATGCCGAAGCGATAAGATAGAGACTGTGGATACCAAGTTTTCCATAGTCCATATTGGATAAGAAATCGATCTTTAACGGCCAGGGAGCATTCTAATATTACATGTCTAATATTACATGAGACTTGATTAGTAATTTCATAATCTACCAGCGAAAATGAATTCAGTGTATATACGCCACAAATTGATGCCTACAATGAAGCAAACTCCTGCTTTATTCGCAACGCGAAACATAGATTAACATGTTTCAGACGAAATTATTTTCCGACCAAAAAGTCTGTAGAAATTCGAAACAACCACTCCAAAGTCCTAATCAAATTCTCTCAATTCGACTATGAGAACCCGGGGTTGGGGGCGGCTCTGAGAAATTTTTCATTGAGGTCTTTCATTCACTGAGTTAGTCAATTGCGAATGTAATATGATGTCAACAGCACACCTGTGCATGTCCAAATCATCCCTATAGTCATGGCAATTGGAGTGTGTTTTGCATGTAGGTCAGATTTCACTTATCCCACGACAATGGCCTCAGCTGTAGTCGATGTTTGAAGCAGTTGGAAACTTTATTTGTTAAATGGGACACGGCAGACTAATTGAAAAATTTATTCGATCTCCATTAGAACCCCGTTTCTACCAGAAGAGTGACATTCGAACTTTAAGATGCTCCTAGTGATGTTGTAAATGAAATCCCGTGGACTCAACCACTTTTTCCACTTCGAACTTTGTCCTATGTAACACAGAAGAATAGGTTGAATATTTTGGAACAGCAAAAATCAATATATCGATCATAGTGTCACAAAGCACAACGGTTTTAAAAGTTAGTATTGAAGACCTTCTGAGTGTAAAACAAAACAAAATGAATTGTTTTAATCATTAAAACATTCTTCAAGCACAACCTACAAATGACAACTGACCAGCTGTGCATATCAGTTTGAATCGATTTCACTTTCCTCCACCCCGATCAATTACAACTTCAGTCCCACTTTTTCCTTCTATTATCCATCGAGTAGTTTACAAACTCTTTACAAAATATCCCGTGTTGATGATTACGCTACCCGGTACACAGGGCTATCGTTTCCACTTCCTCTGAGACACACAGAAACTTTGTAACGGATAACCTAGGCAAGGACAGTGTGAGCAATGTGCGAATAAATGCCTTAAATATCTCGATACCCCGGTTCTGTTTCATTCTCCATACTTGTATTTGATGATCCATCTGTGTGCGCATCAGTGTTTTATTCGATTCGTTTTTCCATCCGCTCGTTCTTGTGATGGAATTTGTTGTACAAAGATTCACACAAGGTACCGGATGTCTGATCCGTCTATGACGAGACGGGTTCGCACGGCATACTGGTTTTGTTACCCCGATGAGATTCATATGCGATGCCTCGTGCCTGCAACATGCGATGGTTTAATCCCAAAACTGTGTATTCTGCATTAAGAATTTGGTTATATTTCTTTATTGTAAATCCAGTGACTGAAATATTACCCACGATGGTGTGGCTTTCTGAGTAATGAATCTGTATGTATGACTGTTGTTCGACAGTGCTACAGGTTTGCAAATTGTTGTGTCCCAGGTTAAGTAGGTGGATAAGCACGCAGTGAATTAGGCAATATTTTTGTTGTAAACGGCAAATATGTAGCCGGTTCACAGATACCGGTGAGCAAGCAGGAACGGGCAACACGTAGGAAGGTAGGCAGGCAGACCAACACTG